TTTAAAAAACTAAAAAAACACGCTTTTAAAGTACATCGAACTAAAAAGTTAAAAATAATTTTTAAAATAATTATGAACAAAAAATACTAGTATTATTGTGATAAAAGCGTCGGGCGCTCAATATACGAAAAATATGGCACAAAGCACCCACGATTTTATCACAATAATATTAGTACTTTTCGTTCAATATTGTTTTAAGCTTATTTTAAAAATTATTTTAAACTTTTTAGTTCAATGTGCTTTAAAAGCGTGTTTTTTAAAAAATAAATATAGTTTAAAAAAACATATTTATTTTTTACTTTTTAGTTTTATGTTATAATAGTAGTTACTATCAATATCATGGTTGTTACGGGTAACGGGAAATCAGGGTTCGATTCCGGGGAGGGAGTCTGAGAAACGGCTACCACATCCAAGGAAAGCAGCAGGCGCGTAAATTACTCACTCCCGGAACGTGGAGGTAGTGACAAAAAATGACGATACGGAAATCATCCCTCGTAATCGGAATGAATACTTTATATCTCTTAGAATAAATCGTGTTAATATATAAATTTTAATAGTTATATGCGACAAATAATGGGACTTAAGTACGTAAACGTATCATGCACTAGGTATAGCCGTGTTTTGTGGGCTTGCGGGTCGGACTAACGTTATACCTGAGGTATAAACGGCGGTAGGAATATATACGTAAGCCGTATGGTACGCGGATGGTATTGGTCAGTCAAAATAAAAATTTGTTTATATATACATAATATTGATGACAAGCATGCGTGTACGGGTACGATAACTAAAAATAAATTTTTATAGGAATAGCGTTGTCGTCGTGTGGTGAGCGAGGCGTGGGGTGGGGTGAATGCGTTATGACAGTCTAGTCTAGACGACGGAATATGCGATAACGTGTGGCGTTTGAAGAGTTACAAACATACATACATACATACATACATACAGGTGAAACTAATATAAGCGTGTTAAAAAAAAAAACTATTATTATTTTAGGAGGAATTCGGTAGTCAACAATAAATCATCAATTCGTATACTAAGATATTAAACTGGTTTTGATATCTTATTTCAAATGAGAGCAGAGTCGTAACACGCTTAAAACATGAATTAACAGTTTAAAATGTCTCATAAGATCAATGTTAATTTTAAAGTTTTTAGTGTTTTAAACATATTTAAACTCTGCTTTATTATTATAAGTTATTATAATTATTATTATAAGAGTATTATTATAAGTTTATTTTTTATAATATTGTTTTTTTAAATTTATAGATTTTTTTTCATTGCTGGGAATGAGGTGAATTTTTAATATTATGACCCTGATAACTTCAAATACATATGTTTTGTTAACTTAAGTGTGTCGTTGATTACATTCGATTCAGAAGAAGCGGAGTAATATAGTTTAATGCTAATATGTACATTAAATTTACAAATATAATCTTTATTTTTTAACTGCGCAATTGTTAAGTATTTTAAATATTATTTTTTATAATTTATTATATTCCCAAATGAAATTTTAAAATGTATAGATAAATTTATTTCAATTCAAAAAAAATAAATATGTGTATTTATATATAAATACTCGTATTTATATTAAAGATATAAGACAGTTGATTTGAAAATATTGTATAATTACGTTTAAGTTAATATTCAATGGATTTAAAAATGACAACGACAATATTTTTTCTAAAAATTGTTATAATGGTGTTTCAACTTGTTACTGGAAACAATAATTTAGAATTGGTTAAATTGGACAACAACAAATTAGAATTGAATAAATTGAAAAATTCTCCTCCATGGCAATACCTCAAAGACACAACGGTATATCTCCCAACTTGTAAAAGCATAACTATTAATGAATTATTTGACAAAGCATATAACGCAAATACTTCTAAAAAAAATATAGAATTTGACAATGCTATTAAGGCCTTTCACTGGTCATTAAAAAGACGAACGTACACATATATTTTTTTCCTTGTAAAATATGGATACGAAGCTATTAAACATGGTGAAACACTAGAAATAGTTAAAGTTATTATTTTGAATGCTTTGAATGTAATAATAAATTGTTTAAAAAAAGTTAATAATTTGCATCAAGTGGCACTGAAAGAGTACATTTCAGAATTAGAGAATTGTAGCAACACAAAGGGTATTCAAGAAAAACTTGGAGAGATGACAAATATTTATTTGAATGTGTTACATTTAATTCAGCTACCGAAACCTGATTTGTTTAAAGATTTTTTTTCAATATTCACAAACAAAAAAAAAATTTATTTTCCTTTGAATATCGAAAAAAAAAATATTGATGAAAAACTATTGATTATTTATTTAAACACATTCCTGAAAACTATTACTACTGATATAGATCTTAAGTATATATTTAGTGAGTATTTATTTAAAAGAAGACTAGTGGATCATTTGGTCGAAATTAGTATATTAGTAGATACTGAATACAAGTTCGTAGAATAAATTTCAATAAAATCATTAATTTTGACAACATTAACACTCTGCCATAATTATGATAGAGAAACATTTGTAAAGTATTTATTAATATTAAGTAATATTTTAATAATTACAATATTTACAAATCTAACCTTACTATTGATTATAATAAATTGTAAAAATAATATAACTATAATTTTAGATAAATTCTGTTTTTTAATATTAATTGTGTTAATTTTATTTTAAATGAAATAGATATCATTCAGAAATTTTATTTTGTTAATTGTTTGATGAAATCACGAATATAATAGAAGTATACTTAAGCAGCCCAAATTCAATTATCATGAACCGTTTAATTAATTAAAAAATAAAAATAATATTCAACAATTTTTACTTAATTTATCAACCATGAAGTATTTTTTATGCTCATTCCTTATACTTATAATGATATCAAAATTTTCAAAATAAAGCAATAAAATAGAAGTAAATCTATTTAAAACGTTAAAAAGCATACCTATCATTTATGATATCCTGCATTTACGTATAAATTATTTTGCTAACTTATCCCAAGCATGTTACCACGAGATAAATTTTTTAAAACAAGATCTTCTTTTACATTACAACATACATAATTAATTCGTACATCTAATAAATCTAATGAAGAAGGTGACTTGTAAATAACAATTTTTGAACCAGTATTTCCTAAGTTTTTTAATGTCTTATAGCTGTAGTTCCTGAAATAACAACACTTATTAAAAAATAATGTTTAAATATTGTTTTTATAACGCTATCATAACATAATATGTTATATTTATGTTTTTATAACATTGTTTTTAATAACGGTATCACAGTTGGGGTCGCGGCACTGTCCTAAGAAAAGCTTCTATGCAAATCTGTAGTTAGTATTTAATTGAAAAGAAATTGATGCCTAATTACAAAAGCAATATAAACTCCTATTTCATTAAATGTATCCTAATCAGTAGTTCTTCGATTTAAAAGTATAATATATAAATAAGTACTAATTATAGTAATTAAATTTAGTATGAAATTAATATTTAATAATTTTATATTGTAATTTGTACGGAGAAATTATTAAAATAATAAAGTAGTTGTATATTATTTCTTTACTTTTAACGCATATAAAAATTTAAATGGATTGATGCAATACTTTTCAATACAAATTTGTTGAGGATAAGTTGCCATTTTCAAACACATTCTGTGGACAGGAAAAAGATCAAATGTTCACAAAAATGTATTAAATAATAAGTAAATACCTAAAGTATCTATGAAAAAAAAATGATTTTGATTTGTTCATTTTTAAGAAAGTTATGGCAGTTTTAAGAAAAAAAAAATTTTAAATGTCATTAATTACCAATTTTTTAATTTTTTTTGAGGATTTCTTCCATTTACAGGAAATAAGGGAATTTTTTTCAATTTTTGAGGGTAATGTTATTGACTAGATACAGTTTGTAATCTTTTAATGTATTGTTCATAATCGGTCCAGTGAGAGCTGAGAAAAAGTAGTAGCAGACAACCACAAAAAAAAAGGATTAAAAAAGCACATTATAGTAAAATTATACCTTCTTAGCTTCGCATTGAAGCTAAAATTGCTATCTGGATGTATTTTGAGCTTTTTTGGATTTTCATTAATATCATATCAAAAAAGAGCTTATTGTACCAAGTATAATCTATTAAAATTTCATTTGGGTAAGAATTATTATAAGAGTAAATTAAGTTATTATAGTTTAAATAGGTAGAAAAAAACATATCACATTTGGTAGCGAAATTTTTATATATTTTTATAAGTATTTTAAATTGAGAGGATTTTTATGTTTTTAGAGACGCTATACTTTTTATATTTCACATTTTATGTATCTACTTAATTTTAATCGCGTTATTATTATATTTTAATATGATAGAAGATATATATATATATTAGGGTGATCCTTAGCTACATGAGAGGTTTTTTTTTTTTAATATTTGTAAGTGCCACCCCCTAGAATTATTC